CTTCAATTTCACCTCCACCCCAATTCCCACCAGCCGTGTCATAAAAGAATGCACGCTATCTGAGTACTTGGACACACACATACACACACAAGACTAACTACACTGTGCTCTGTTTATTTCAGTGTACACGTGTGGTCCAACAAAAAGGACATTCTCAGAAGCCCATTGGGCGATATTTTTTCCTGATTCATTAAGGAGTCGAAGAAAGTGTTCTTTGAGGTTTCAGCTGAAGGACACCCATTCAGAACTAAAGCTGTTGGTGTTCTATATATGTCTGGCTAATGGCTACATTCAAGGCAGCCCAAACTTTATCTGGGGTGTAGAAGGACTCAGTAGAACTAGAGGAATCGACCATGAGAAGCCTTACAAACAGGTGATTCATCATCTCCGCAGTACACAGACGATACACTAGTCTTTATGATATTATTACTGATGAATCACAGCACAGTGTAAGAGGTGAGCCATGGTAACATCTGGTGATTCATCTTAGTTTAATACATCTCCTAAAGTCGGAGAAAATCGTTTTTTCATGGTGTCGTAGGCAGCCCTTTTAGTAAGTGCTGGTACGATAGGTGGTAAGGACACACGGAAAAATCTCTTGATCCCTTCTTGAGAAAATTACGAAAAACTTACTTATCTTTGAGATGTGTGTTGTTCGTTGACGCAAGCGTTTTCAGCTTTGATGGTTGAAGTGGGCGGAGCAGGAGTAGCGAAATTTGTGAATCTTCAGTTAACAGAGCAGATCCTTGACTGTCTCGTCAGTGTCAAAGCTGGGGAATCAAAATGGCCAGTGAAAAGGAGTGGTGGAGAACTGACTGTTGGACTTAAGGATTCTGGTAGGTTTTTCCTGATGTAAGTGAGAGATGAAGTGTACCCCAAGTGTCGCGTGGTTGATGGACTCTGGTTTGGCCTTTCACCAAAGCACGGGGTGTCTCTGCGTTGAGGAACTCAAAGCCTGGGTTGTTGATGGTCAGGGTTTCGAGACTCCTCAAGAAGATGGAGGTTGCCGAATTTCTACCCTGAAGCCTGGCAGCACACCAAAGTTAGAAATAAAATGGCCCGATGATGAAAGTGGTAGTAGCCTGAGACTTAACACCAGACTTATAGTGGTTGCAGGCTGGCTGCTCTGGAGATGTTCTTGTGAGAGGTGAGAGGAGCGCTGGAGGCCTGGGGAGATGGGTAAATGGACCTGTGTGGATGGAGTGAAGGGTGTCGGTGGTTGCTAGAGGGTGTGAGTGGAACACTGGTCGCGTGGACCATGCCAGTCGGGGTGCTGGGAGAGCACCAGCTGTAACTGGGCATAGCGGACTTCACGCTCGTCTCTAGTGTCAGGGAGTGTAGGTGTCCGATAACTTCTTTGTGTGCCACAGGCTCTGGCCGGGACCCACCTACACGAAGTCAGGAGCAAAGAAAGAATCGTCCCGTGGCAAAGCTAGTGTAGAGATAGCTTGGGTCACCCTGAATTTCCACCTACCACAAGCTGCTCAGGCCCACAGCCTATCTTTGAAGGTGGTGGTAGTTTTGGTCTTGGTGAGATCCTGCCTGAACCCAGTGAAGCCACTGATCAGTCCTGCTTGGTGGAGGCCCTTCCCAGATCTCGGGCTCCCTATGAGGTGTGGTTTCAGGAGGACAAACACCTTTCTCCAGAGTGGCCCGAAAGAGTGACGAGGATGAGCTTGTGGTTTAATTCTCTGCTGAGTGTGTTTACCTCTGTTGAGTGTTTACTTTGCTGAGTGTGTTTACTTGTTGAGTGTGCTTACCTCTGTTGAGTGTGTTTACTTGTTGAGTGTGCTTACTCGTTGGAGTGTGTTTACTTGTTGAGTGTAAGCTTACCTCTGTTGAGTGTGCTTACCTGTTGAGTGTGTTTACTTCTGTTAAGTGTATGCATTTGTTGAGTGTGTTTACTCTGTTGAGCGTGCTGTAATTTTGTTGAGTGTGTTTCATTCTGTTGAGTGTGTTTATTTCAGCTGGAGTGTGTTTACCCTGTTGGAGTGTGTTTATTTCGTTGAGTGTGTTTACCCTGCTTGAGTGTGTTTATTTCTGTTGAGTGTTTACCTCTGTTGAGTGTGTGTCATCACTTGTTGAAGAAGCGTACTGCTGTTGAGTGTGCTTTCATTTCTGTTGAGTGTGTTTACCTCTGTTGAGTGTGTGTTTACTTGCTGAGTGTGTTTACTTCTGTTGGGTGTGTTTACTTCTACGAGTGTGTTTACTTGTTTAGTGTAAGCTTTACTTGTTGAGTGTGTTTACCCTCCTCGAGTGTGCTTACTCTGGTTGTGAGGTACGAAATTTCCGTTGAGTGTGTTTACTCGTTGAGTGTTTAATTTCCGTTGAGTGTGTTTACTTTGTTGAGTGTGTTTACCTCTTGTTGAGTGTGCACTTTTAAGCCGAGCAAAGCACTTTGCTGAGCGTGTTTACTCTTGTTGAGTGTGTTTACCTCTGTTGAGTGCAGTTTACCTGGTTGAGTGCCATTTCCGTTGAGTGGTTTATCTCTGTTGAGTGTACTTGTTTGGAGTGTGTTTTAAATCTCTGTTAAGTGTGTTTACTCGTTGAGTGTGTTTACCTCTGTTGAGTGTGTGTACATTTCTGTTGAGTGTGTTTACTCTGTTGAGCGCAAGTCAATACTTTCTGGTTGAGTGTGTTTACTTGCTGAGGTGTTTACTTGCTGAGCGTGCTTTTCTACTGCCGGAGTGTGTTTTACCCCTGTTGAGCGTGTTTACCTCCTGTTGAGTGTGTTTACTCTGTTGAGTGTGTTTACTTCCTTGTTGAGTAAAAGTCATTTCTTGTTGAGTGTGTTTACTGTTGAGTGTGTTTACTTCTGTTGAGTGTGTTTACTTCTGTTGAGTGTGTTTACTTCTGTTGAGTGTGTTTACTTCTGTTGGGTGTGTTTATCTCGACACTCACTGTTGTCCCAACTGTGTGTGTGTGTGTGTGTGTGTGTGTGTGTGTGTGTGTGTGTGTGTGTGTGTGTGTACCTTACCCACTAATATCTGGAGGAGTGATCTGAGGCCAGGTCAGAGTCATCAGAGTTACTCTCTTGGTGCAAACTCCGCCACGGAAGTTCGCTTGTCTGCGCTTTGACGTACCCAAGAGCGGAAACCTACGGCGTTTTATGTTTCTCAAGCAGATGCGCGTCTTAGCTCTATTGTTATTGTTAAAGAAAATCTCCATGTAGCTGATGCTGATATGTTTAAGATTACTCGTGTATTGTTGCCGTTACAGCTATTCCAACCGAGCTGATATTGTTACAGCTTAAGATCACTGTATTGTTAGCTACAGCCAGACCATGCGTAGCTGGCGTTGTTACAGCCTAAGACTACTCGTATTGTTGTGCCATAGCTTCATTCACAAAAAGCTTCAACATCAACTCAATAGCATGATGATAAGCTCTTTCTGTAGACAAAAACCTAACCTAACCTTACCTAACCCAAGGTCAGCAGCCCGGGAAATAGTCTGTAGAGGCGGTAGGTTAGGTTAGGTTGGATTAGATTGGTGTCTCACCTGGTGTTGTTGTGTGGTAATTATCTCACCTGGTGTTGTGTGGTAATTATCTCACCTGGTGTTGGTGGCTAATTATCTCACCCTGGAATAGTCGCTGGACCGATGGTAGAAGGAGTCTCTCAAACCTCTTTTGGTGTAGTCATGGGAAGTGTACTGTGAGGGAGAGAGAGAGAGAGAGAGAGAGAGAGAGAGAGAGGCTCTTAGACTGTTCAATTGTATTCATTTACAATTACAGATTATTTCTCTAATTACAACCCAATCCCAAATTCAACCCAAAAATAGGGTGGATGGAACAAAGAAGGGGGAGTCAGAGTTTCACACGGGGTGCTGTAACAATTAGTAACCCCAACCCCATCCCCAAATCCCAACCCAACCCCACCCCAACCCAACCCCATCCCCATCCCCACCCCACCCCTACCCCATCCAACCCAACCCAATCCCACCCCAACCACCACCCAACCCAACCCAACCCTACCCCACCAACCCAACCCAACCCTACCCCACCCTACCCCAATCCCACCAATACCCTACCCACTCCAACAACCCAACCCAACCCAACCTAACCCTACTCCTTACCCATCTTTATTCTTACCCTTACCTCACTCCCCACCTCTATCCCCAAATAGCGTTAGGTAGGATTAGGATAGGTTAGGTTAGTATTAGGTTAGGTTAGGGTGGTCAATCTTTATAGGTGAAACAAGCTAATGTGGAAATTTTTCTGGTGATGCAAATTATCTTCACAGGAATACGACACAATAACAAAGCGAAACACAACCAGAATAATACGTGTTTCTGGAGGATAAAGTGAAAGACACAACTCGGTAGCTGAATGACAATTGAAAAACGTTAAAGGAATGTTCTGAAAAAGTTATATTGTGTAGAGACAGGTGTAGTATAGATCTCCTCACCCCCACCTGTGTAAAGTGAAACAAAGGAAGTGTGTGTGTGTGTGTGTGTGTGTGTGTGTGTGTGTGTGTGTGTTAGAGGTGGATAAAACCTGACCTAAAACAGTGTCCAGTTATCATAGGAAATAATCGTAAGGGTTCCATAATATAAAGATTGAATTAAACTTACCGACAGACAGACAGACAGACAGACAGACAACATAGCTTCACCTACGTAAATATCACAACATATACACATGGACCCAGACACACACAAACAGACATTCACCAACACATTTAACCGATGTTTTAATATACATACATACATACATACATACATACATACATACATACATACATTAATACCAGGTTAACGAGAATAGTTACGTGGCCTCAGAGTTTGAATGGAAATAATAAAGCGGAAATTATTCACAAATAATGTATTTACTGTAGTCTTGAGCACCTGTTATTATTATTATTATTATTATTATTATTATTATATTTATTATTATTATTACACACCTGAGTGATATCATCCTCGAAGAATTACTACCCAATTAGCTTTAACTAATTACCCCATTCACAGCTGCCTGACCTAAGCAATATATCTCATAATTACATAATATTTAGTACCCTATTTATTTATTTATTTATTTTTATTTATTTAATTATGGTTATTACTCACGGTTTCGGACTTTTAGAAATTTCGGATTTCACGTATTCGGACGAGGTTGTGTTCGGGTGTTTATTTCCGGGTATATGGCGTTAAATACTTTTATTTTCCTTGTTTAAAATATCACGAATATTATCAGTGATTTCTTGTTGGACTTGTTCTTCTTCGTCTTGTTGTTGTTCTTGTTCTTCGTGTTGTTGTTCTTGTTCTCACTGACTCACTAAATCGATGTTTACTTCAGACTACAATAACACAAACCACTTCGACAGATCTTCACAATAGTCGCATTAAATTATCCAGAACAAACAAACAAATACACACATAGACAAACGCACAGACATGAAGAAGACACGGACACACAAAGACAGACGCACATAAACACACATAGACACAGACGCACATAACATAAACAAACGCACACAATTTCTTATAATAACGATAATGTTGATAAACAAGAAAATATAAAGTAACCAAATTGATCAAATCTAAAGAAACTTAACCTAACCAAACCATGCCTAGGTAAAGATTGGCTAGGTTAAGAGTAGCAAAGGTTATCTTAGATCAATTTCCATGGAAGCATCTGTCACTTGCTCGCATAATAGACAGACAGACAGACAGACAGACAGACAGGATAGATATAGACAGAATAGACAAATAGACAGGATAGATAGATAGATAGATAGATAGATCGATCTAGGACTCACCTTAAGCAAATACTTGATGATGGCGAGGAAGGAGGGCCTCTCTCTGGCTTCATAACTCCAACACCGCCTCATGACCCGCTGCAGGGGCTTGGGGCAGTTCCTAGGGCGGCTCAACGTAGCATACCTCTCAACCACTAGTCTTATCACTTCGTCGTTAGTTCGGTTCTGATGGGGAGGACACCGTGTGACTTGGTTAGGTTAGGTTGGGTTGGGTTGGCTTGGGTTGGGTTGGGTTGGGCTAGGTTAGTTTAATTTGGTAGTGTGGTAGTGAAGGTTACACGTCAGGAATAAACCTCCATCTCTTAGTCGTCTTTTCTTCACTACCACACTACCACCTGTACCACACCACCACACTATCACCTCGCCAGCACTACCACACTACCACCTGTACCACACCACCACACTATCACCTCACCAGCACTACCACACTACCACCTGTACCACACCACCACACTATCACCTCACCAGCACTACCACACTACCACCTGTACCACATTATCACCTCCCAGCACTACCACACTACCACCTGTACCACACCACCACACTATCACCTCACCAGCACTACCACACTGTCACCATTTTGTTTATAACCAATAATGTAAACAACGACTAATCACTTTAAAAAATAAAAATAAATAAATTATGAAGGTACATTTTAACAACAATAATATATATATATACGCCAATGGACTCACACCGTATTTTACAGAGATAACATGTTGGAAGTGTCTCATCTATCTTGTGTCTCTGTTATGGATGTAATTAGGGCTTGATTATGTATATATACCTGTACTCGTTTACCTGATGGGGAAGTGTATTTAAAGGAAGTGTTTGGATGTATTTATGTATGGATGGATGGATGGATGGACACACACACACACACACACACACACACACACACACACACACACACACACAAGCGGTAAGAGCACCTCACCTTGTAGGGCGTAACACCCCGGGTGGCCATCTCCCACAGCAGGACGCCGTAGCTCCACACATCACTCTGGGTGCTGTACACGCTGAACTGAAGACTCTCCGGCGCCATCCACTTTACTGGCAGCATCCCCTGGCCTTCTGTTGCCATGAGACACACATATGCGGGGAGTGCGGGGAGATATGATAGAAGTATTCAAGTGGGTGAAAGGAATCAATAAAGGTGATATAGATAAAGTTCTTATAATATCCGAGCAGGATGGGACTCGGAACAACGGATTCTGTTGGATAAGTTTAGGTTTAGGAGGGAGATAGGAAGGAACTGGTTTAAATAGGGTGGTGGACGAGGAACAAGCTTAGCAACTTGTAGTAAGTGCTGGAACGCTGGAAAGTTTCAAAGGGAGGCTGGATAGATTCATGGATGATAGAGAGTGGTAGTAACTTCCGACAGGAGCTGCCATGCACAGGCCAACCGGCCTATTGCAGACTCCTTATTTTCTTATGTTCTTATGTTTACTAAGGTGTTTGTATATATGTATGTTTGTGTGGCGTGTTATGGTCAGCTCTCAACACAAGCTAATGGACCCGGGTTCGATTCCCGGGCAGGGTGAAACTATGGGCAGCATTAATTGGGGACCTGGATGTTAATCGATTTGCGGATCGTGTTCTGAGGTAGTGGTTAGCCAGTGCAGTTGGTGAGTTGTTCGTTTTTCTCGGACTATTCCTTGACACTGGGTCATGCAACTCGTTAACTCAGGGTGTGGTTGTTGTGTTGGCGACAGCTTCTACACCTTAAACAAATTCACGCCAAGGTGGCCCTTGGGCCGGCCATCCTCGAACACCATTATGTATATACAGTATGTATGTTTGTACGTTTATAATGCTCTAAAAGTTTTCATAATAGCTTTGATAATTTTAATCATCTTCATTTACGTTGTTTTACGGTGAATAATAGTACCATCACTGGGAACACGTATATGTGAACTTAGGAAAGATATCAAAACAACGGGATGAAATGACACAAATACCTGGAAATAACACGAATCAATAAAAAAAATATATATCTTATATATTTAAACTTAAAAACCCACCACACGAAAAAAAAAAACACGAATCTTGGTAATGAGGGAAGGAAGGGCCAGGTAGTCTCACCTTTCCTGTAATAATCTGACTTGAGGTTTCGTGTGAGGCCAAAATCACCAATCTTGAGGGTCAGTTCGTTGTCCAGCATACAGTTACGGGCTGCTAAGTCACGGTGTACTAACTTCCCCGCCGCTAGGTACGCCATCCCGTCCGCTGCCTCCACCGCCATCTCTATCATCTTCTGCAGGTAGACACAGCAGTGAGGGTGTTAGGAGTGAGGCGCAGAGGTTAGGTTAGGTTAGTGGCAGAGGTTAGGTTAGGTTAGTGGCAGAGGTTAGGTTAGGTTAGTGGCAGAGGTTAGGTTAGGTTAGTGGCAGAGGTTAGGTTAGGTTAGTGGCAGAGGTTAGGTTAGGTTAGTGGCAGAGGTTAGGTTAGGTTAGTGGCAGAGGTTAGGTTAGGTTAGTGGCAGAGGTTAGGTTAGGTTAGTGGCAGAGGTTGAAGAAGTTAGTGGCAGAGGTTAGGTTAGGTTAGTGGCAGAGGTTGTGGTTAGTTAGTGGCAGAGGTTAGGTTAGGTTAGTGGCAGAGGTTAGTTAGGTTAGGGCAGAGGTTAGGTTAGGTTAGTGGCAGAGGTTAGGTTAGGTTAGTTGCAGAGGTTAGGTTAGTTAGTGGCAGAGGTTAGGTTAGGTTAGTGGCAGAGGTTAGGTTAGGGTTAGTGGCAGAGGTTAGGTTAGGTTATGGCAGAGGTTAGGTTAGGTTAGTGGCAGAGGTTAGGTTAGGTTAGTGGCAGGGGTTAGTTAGGTTATGGGCAGAGGTTAGGTTAGGTTAGTGGCAGAGGTTAGGTTAGGTTAGTGGCAGAGGTTAGGTTAGGTTAGTGGCAGAGGTTAGGTTAGGTTAGGGGCAGAGGTTAGGTGATAGTGTTGTACAGAATAGTGTGTACAGATTGGATAGTTTTGTTCTAACCTAACCTAACCTAACCTAACCTAACCCACAGTCTCTACTCAATACTCACCTTTGAAGACAAGAACTACACGAAAATTTTGTAACTTCGTGTTTTCTTTTTTCCTTTGTGGTTATCAGACTACCTACTGTACACTAATTGGATAACACACCTGACCTTTATCGGCTGCCGAGTTTTAGTTAATATTTTTTTTTTCATTTGTTATTTATTTCAACTTTGTAGATAATTATTATTTTTCTTCATTTGTTGTTCATTTGATCTAACACAGAAGCTTTGAATTGGGAACTATTGTGAATGTTTATCAATGTGGCTTTAAATGTTCAGGTCCCTGCACGTGTGTTGGGTTAAATGACTAACACACACACACACACACACACACACACACACACACACACAATCTAGCTCGGTTGGTACTCGTTATCCTAATAGCGTCACACCTGTATAAATGAGTCCGTTTACCTGGGAAAATCAACATTGCTTTCTCCTACCACCCGCCAGTCTCTCTCTCTTACATCACTATCTACGAATATCCCTAATATGAGTTTGTAAACATCTCAAGAAATTAAAAATCACGTTATTTACAATCACCTATGACTCTCTATATGTTAATAAGGCATATGGAAATGTACTGTATATTAAGGGGAATGTGACGTGACTCAGTACAGAGGTGATTTCCAGGTTAGTTACGACACCTGGTAATTGGAGGTACTACAGGTACTTTATATTTTGATCTTTTGTCCAGTCATAATGTAAGAATCTGGTTCGGTTGAATATTCGGAGCCAATAATGGGAGTGTTTAGCGGTCCGTGTACGTGTTTTTCTGATTCGTGTGCGTGTTTTAGGATTCGTGTCCGTGTTTTATGATCTGTGTGCGTGTTTTAGGATTAGTGTCCGTTTTTACGTTTGTTGTACGTGTTTTCTGGTCTGTGTACGTGTTTTACGATCCATGCATGTGCTTAAGGGCTTTATACATGAATGATTCCACAAAATTAAAAAAAAAATCGTATATTTCTTCTAATTTTTAATACCTATATAAACTGTTCCATCTCATTAAATATCTATGACTCAGGATAATCTATATAATTTTTTTATTTATTTATCGTAATCTATAACGTCACAAAACTCGTATGATGTTTTATGGGCCGTGTTTCTGTCCAGCAGTAACTCGTATCAACAAAACCGTGATGTTTCCCCGTGTTCATGTGCTGACGGGTCGCCTCGATGAGCTGACACACGCATTTCCAACCTGTCAGCGGGTAGTGTCAGCTCATCTCTCTCTTCTTGTCACCAAACCGGATATAGGAGAAAAAAAGAGAGTTGCGTTAGGAGACATGAGCTGAGTGCTTGTGTGTGTTGGGGTGTGTTGGGGTGTGTTGGGGTGTGTTGGGTTGTGTTGGGGTGTGTTGGGGTGTGTTGGGGTGTGTTGGGGTGTGGTTGGGGTGTGGTTGGGTGTGTTGGGGTGTAAGTTGGAGTGTGTTGGGATGTGTTGGGGTGTGTTGTTGGGATGTGTTGGGGTGTGTTGTTGGGATGTGTTGGGGTGTGTTGTTGGGATGTGTTGGGGTCTGTTGGTGCGATCTGTTGGGGTGTGTTGTTGGGATGTGTTGGGGTGTGTTGTTGGGATGTGTTGGGGTGTGTTGGTGCGATCTGTTGGGGTGTGTTGTTGGGATGTGTTGGGGTGTGTTGGTGTGTGTTGGGATGTGTTGGGGTGTGTTGGGGTGTGTTGGTGTGTGTTGGGGTGTGTTGGTGTGGACCTTGATATATCTGAGTTATAATTGCTTTGTGAGGAACTAATCACTTACCTGACCTGATCACTTACCTGGCCTGACCACCTTACCTGGCCTGACCACCGACCTGGCTTGATCACTTGGCCTGATCACCTACCTGGCCTGATCACTTACCTGGCCTGATCACTTACCTGGCCTGATCACCTTACCTGGCCTGCTCACCTTACCTGGCCTGACCACCTTACCTGACTTAACCTGTCCACCTTACCTGGCCAGTGAGGAAGTTGGGCGGGTGTTTCCTGAGGAAGGTCTTCAAGTCTCCCTCCTGCATGAGCTCCATCACGACGAAGACTGGGGAGTAGTCGCCCACCACCCCCAGCAGTCTTACCACGTGGTGACAGGTGATGTTCCTGAGGGAGGTATGGACGACACCTGTAGCTGTACCCACACATCCTATCTATGTTATTAGGAGAGAAGGATGTCCAGTCCCCTTCACTAGTGCGTTTTACAGGAGCTCATCGTCAGGTTTTGTGCAGTGTGGCAACGTTGTGTTTGTTTACATTCGACAGACGGGAACTCACAATAGTAAACACACTATGGAATCCAATTAAAACATTATTAAAACACAAACTCGATGATAATGATTTATGGAATGTTTATATGATGAGCCCCTGTAAACACACTAGTGAAGGGGACGTCACCCATCATCCATTCTACCTGTTGTGACGCATCCATCACCTCACCCCTGTAATATTATCCATTTTACTTGAGTAGTGAGGATGGACGTTCGCCTCTTATCCTCTGTATAAATTCAGAAACTCGACGAATAAGCTACAGGTTTTAGTAATATTCCAAAATACAATACAAGAAAATGGCAGATGAATAATTGTGATCTTTCTGTGCGTATTTTTGTTAATATTAACTTAAGATTCGTCAAATTTAACCAGAATTATTGTCCATGTGATTTGTGTTGTTCGTGGTTGAGGATGTTGACGTCAGAGATCGTCCATAAAACTCAACATTAACACTAGCAAGAGATCTTTTGTGCGAGGTTGTGTGGGAACATTGTGATGGTGTTTAGGAGTGGGCAGCCAGTCTGACAATAACATTGGCTTATCTTACACATAACAATGGAGTATTTTTATAATGAAGGTTTATCATTGAGTCTTAATTAAGGAAACAATGGACGAAGAGAAGAAAATTGTTAAGAAAATGTGTGGCGCTGCAAAGAGACAATCGTGTGTGTGTGTGGAGACAAACTTTGTATAATTTTATCCTTGGAGGTCTTCCTGTATTTGGTCAAGGTCAATCAAAGGTCAAGTTCAAGGGGGTGGAGGGGTCACGGAGGTCATGAGACTATTCCAGTATTATTTATTGACCTCACACAGTTACAGACAGACTCCCTACAATAACTACTACCCCGTGTACTTACTGCATGAGTGCTGCTTCCTTTAAGAACTGGCGTATCTCCTCCGTGCTGGCTCTCTCGTTGTGGGTCTTGACGGCTACTCGAGTCTGTTGGCCACACCGGTTGACCAATCCCTCAAACACCATCCCGAAGAACCCGTGGCCAAGAGGACGGTCGTACATCACCTTCAGGTCATCACGCCAGAAGATAAACTCCTCCTGGAAGATCTCGGAGGGAGCGAAGCCTTCTGTTGGGTGTTGAGGGAACGAGTGAACAGTATGAGGTGAAATTTGTTCCAACTATCGTGTATAAAAGGTGAACCAGGTGTCTCAAGGTAACATACAGGGGGGGGGGGGTGAGAGGACAGATGAGAAAAACAGATACGGGGGAAAAAATTTTTAGAAAGATAGCTATAACGTAAGGGCTGTAGGAGAAGACTAGACGGGGATGGGTTAAAAAAAAAAAAGACAATGGGTGAATTTAACTCAGTTGCCATAGAAGATAATGAGCTAATAATAATAACAGGAGATTAACAAGAAGGGCTTTTTAAACGTGATACTCTCAACAGGAAAGAGATACCATGAAACGAAAGTGAAGACAAGAGAAAGGGAAAGAGTAGTTTTTTTTTCTTCTGTTTTTGTTTCAGCTCTTTGTTTTTTGCCTATTTTCCCCACATCACTTTTCTTACATCACTCTCCTCTCTCTTGTTTGAGGTTTTCAGTTTCTCTTAAGTCATTTGAGGCGGTAATGGAAGCGGAGGAGGGAGGGCAGAGGAGAGAGAGAGAGAGAGAGAGAGAGAGAGAGAGAGAGAGAGAGAGAGAGAGAGAGAGAGAGAGAGAGAGAGAGAGAGAGAGAGAGAGAGAGAGAGAGAGAGAGAGAGAGAGAGAGAGAGAGAGAGAGAGAGAGAGAGAGAGAGAGAGAGAGAGAGAGAGTCTCTGAAGCAGTACAGACCTCGGTAGTAAGGATTAATGTCGACCTTCTCCAGAGTGTGAGGTATTATGTGGGCGGCAGTGTAGCGTCGCCAGTACCAACACATGGACGTAGCCACTAGCAACCCCGCCATCACCACTATCACCGTCCACGTCATTATCACCACCCACGTCCTTGTTGCTGAGTCTTCTTCCTGTGCCTGTGGGTGGACGAGGAGGTGGTGGTGGAGGAGGTGGTGGTGGTGGTGGAGGTGGTGGTGGTGGTGGTTGAGGAGGTGGTGGGAGGTGGGTGGTGGTGGTGGAGGTGGTGGTGGTGGAGGTGGTGGTGGTGGTGGTGGAGGTGGTGGTGGTGGTGGTGGTTGAGGAGGTGGTGGTGGTGGTGGTGGTGGTGGTTGAGGAGGTGGTGGTGGAGAATGAGGTGGATGAGGGGGTTGAGGAAGAGAAAATGGAGGATGAGGATGAAGAGGTGGATAAAGAGGAGGTGGAGGAAGAGGATAAAGAGGAGGTGGAGGAAAAAGACAAAATCCATTCACGTCAATCAAAACACAAGAAAGACTAATATATATATTTTTATCACTCAGACATATCACTTAAGATATAATGAAAGGAAAGTAGTTTTAATGGTTCACTGACGAATAGCAGTGCCAGTGCCAGTGCCATGGGTGGAACTGGTCTTTGTTGTCAATATTACTGTCAAAGAACTTCAGCTATTGGTTAGGTCAGGTCAGGTCAGGTCAGGTTAGGTTAGGTTAGCTTTAGGTTAGGTCAGGTCAGGTCAGGTTAGGTTAGCTTTAGGTCAGGTCAGGTCAGGTCAGGTCAGGTTAGGTTAGGTTAGCTTTAGGTTAGGTCAGGTCAGGTCAGGTCAGGTTAGCTTTAAGGTGTTTAATCCTCAATTGAAATAAACTGAGGTATCTAATATTCACAGGATTCAAACTTACCACCATAACGAAAAAGACTGGAGCGCAGAAGTTACCGTACGCAGCCTTTGACCTGACCCTGACCTGGACGGAGTAGTTACCAGGAGACAGGTCAGGTAACTCCACCTTATGACTCATTGCCTCGAAGTCCCTCCCGGTCACACACCTCTCCATCATCATGCTCTTGAGGGGGGACAATCAGGGTCAATACAGGTGATGTAAACAATGGTATGTTAACTATCTATCATGTTGTTAACAGACAGGAAGAGAGATATATGGAAGGATAATTGTGTTTTTCTGTATTATGGATAAAGATATATATACAAAGACAGACATAAACAGATCCACAAGTACACACACACACACGCACACGCACTCACGCACACGCACACACACTCACACCGTGGATCTTGAGAATATAAGCCACCACCCCTCCATTAGGACTCGTCGGGGGGTCCCAGCTGATGACTACCGAGGTCTTGGAGGTGTTGGTCTGGACCACAGCACGTAGGGACCCCTCGGCCACCTGGTCAGCCACACCTGTAATTAAGAGAACGACAAAAGACAGGTGAATTTACTGTATTTGTAGAAGGGAAAGTGTCTGAGTCAGGTTTGGTTTAGATTAGAGAGAGAGAGAGAGAGAGAGGTCGTAGACGTAACACTCACCGCTGGGCCTGGTCTGAGCAGCGACACGGGCTGGGACGGTCGAACACAGCTTCCCTTGGTGGACGAGTCGGCCATTGGGGTCCACAGAGAGCATGTTGACGGGAGCCTGACAAGCCTTCACCGCCACCGAGTAGATGGAGTAGTGGTGGAGGTTGTGTAGGCCCAGGCGTGTCTCGCGGGTCATGTGTTCCTGGTGTAGAAGTACCGAGCCTGTAGGTAGGACGAGGGGGTAGGTTAGGTAGGGCGGGGAGTAGGTTACGATGGTGGAAGGGGCGGTGAAGAAGAGAAAGGATGAAGAAAAAAAGGTGATGATGATGGTTTAAAAAGAGATAAAGGGATTTGGGGTGGACGAAGAATTTGTAGGAGGGGAGAGAGTGAAAAAGGTGAGGAGGGGAGTTGCTAAGGGAGGGGAGAATCGGCTCGGATGGCTTCAATGGAAATCAGAAAATGAAAGATTGTGGAGCTGTGGTGGAGAGTGTACAGGTCGTGGTAGTGTGGGAGAGTGGTGAGAAGAAGGGGAGGGAGATGAACATAAAGTACTTAAGGGGACAAGGGACCCATACAGACACTCTCTCTAAGTGACTTCATGACATCTTCAACGACACACACACACACACACACACAGTAACGTTAAACAGGTCGCTATAAACAAGAGGTTGGACTCACTGTGTTGTGGGTGAGGAGTGTTGTACTGGGTGAGGTTCTCTAGGTGAGGCTGATAGTGCTCGTGGATCCCGGCGTGGGTGGGGAACTCGTGCACCTTCTGGTCCTGGTGGAGAGGGAACTCCTCGTTCTCTGCCTCTGGGTCGAGGAACGGTCGAGTGAAGACGTCAACGCTGCCAAGCTCCTCGGAGAAGGTGGAGGCGTCCTTAAATTGGCTATTTTCCCCGTTCTTTAGGAAGGTGTTCTCAGTGGGCTGGTGAGTGGCTCTTAGTTTAGCCTCAAACTCTTCATCACTAACAAGGAGCTTCTCGTGAGTGCTCCTCCTCGACCTGTTGATCATGAGGGCGGCAGGTGAAGGAGAGAGCACCTTTAGCAGGGCGAGGATGCTGTTTTCAGATACTGTGACCGTTACAGTTGCATTATTTACTTTGGTTACAAGTTGCAGTGAACTTTGACCAATATACGTTTCAGAGGTCAAATAACTCGAACACTCAAACAAAAGAATGACATAAACAATAACACGTGAAGGAGCAGGAGGCGAGACGTTACTCACTTCTTCACGTAGACGGTGTCCATCATGAAGTCCTCGAACCCTATCTGTCCCATCACCTCTTGGTCGACGCCCACGCCCGCGTCCTGGCAGGCACAGCAGGTGGGCGTGGGCGTGGCGGTGCAGGAGCCCTCTTTGTCATCCACGGCAGGCATCTCTTCCTCAGCTTGCTCCTGGATTCTGGGAGTCTTCCTCACTGGGATACTGGAGGCCTCAGCCACAGCCGGGGCCTTCATCCTCTTATCAACGTACTCCCTTGCTGGGGAGACACCAGGTGACTGTGTTAGTACATCTACCTGTACCTGTAGCTGTCTACCTGTAGCTGTCTACCTGTACCTGTCTACCTGTACCTGTAGCTGTCTACCTGTGTTCAGTAAGTAATAATATCGATATAATCTGAAAAATACCACTCCAATACATACATACATACATACATACATACATACATACATACATACAAAACCTGCAGACAAACGTACTCATACTAAAAACACACACAGGAATATACATTAACGAAGGACACAGTACATAACTATGACACGTAAACACACCTGAAAGTATTAAATCACACACGTTATTTTTTTCTGCCCTACAACACAGTGACAACCCTGACAACATTCACTCACTACCAACACACTTCTCTTCCTCTGATCATACAACACGGGGACGTACTTTGCTGGTTGCAGAAGTCGAGATCTGGCGGTATTCTGAGTGTGTCTAGCAGGAGTGTGAGGGTGACGAGGTAATGGTCGATGACACCGTTGGGTCGTCTCGGAGGCTGCCACCATACCTCGAGTGATGAGCTGTTGTCTGATACCCACTTAACCTGTACTGGCTCCGTCGGGTCTGAGGGAAGGGAGAGTGGCCAGGTTAGGTTTACGTTAGGTTTGGTTATGTTTACGTTAGGTTATGTTTACGTTAGGTTATGTTTAGGTTAGGTTATGTTAACGTTAGGTTATGTTTACGTTAGGTTATGTTTACGTTAGGTTATGTTTAGGTTAGGTTATGTTAACGTTAGGTTATGTTTAGGTTAGGTTATGTTTAGGTTAGGTTATGTTTAGGTTATGTATACGTTAGGTTATGTTTTCGTTAGGTTAGGTTTACGTTAGGTTAGGTTAGGCATTTTTTGTGTGTTTTTTTTTTGTATTTCTTGTCTCTCGCACATAACTGAGTAAAAACACTGTCTGCTTTAGTTAATCTCTATTTGAAAAAGTTTTAAGACGTGTTAATAAGGTGGGCGAGGAGAGAGAGGGGGAGGCGTCTTAAGAAGAAGGTTACATGGGGAGGGAAGACAACAGCATCGAAACTCCTTCATTTTTATCTATAAGTGACCTAAGTATGTCTTCATCTATACAATATCTGGTCAGACTTTCGCCATCTTTCTTCTCTCTTGTCCTGAGGTGACTGGCTGACGTGACTGGCTGGCTTGGCTGCAGGGATCCTCTGTCTAAACTTTCTTATCACTTGAGAGAACCTGATACCTTTTATCGGTCCGTCTAACTTCTGCTGTCTCGTGAAGTTTGGGATTGAACACCACAAACACCATCAAACAAATGAGAACCAAACACGAGGAAATAAACAGATTGAGTGATGATGAAGGAGGAATAAAACACAAACCAGATAACGACGAGAAATTAGACCGAATAAATGGAATTAAGAACAGGAATTAGAAAATGGGGAGAATTCATAACAACAAACAAATGCCAGTGAGAAATAAAAAGCGCGGGAAAATCCATAGCACATAGAAATCCTTATTTACGCCTATAGATTTTCTTCCGGACAACAAATATATAAACGAAACAATAAAACGCGCAATACAAGATCCTCCAAGTGTTGATTTATTGGTCAAACAAAAACACATCGACAACACTCCTTCGTCATGAGACAAAACAGAAATCATTCAGAATACCAAACACAACCTTAGTCATTACTGAATATTGTAAATTGATATCTACAACGTCAGACAGACCAGTTATATACTGTTAATTAAATCTGACAGGATGTGAGAGTATAGATGGTTACTGGAGGCTGTCAGCGGATGGAGTCAGACAGGAAGTGACGTCAGAACTCTCTTCAAATACTCCAAGCTGATCGAAAAGTCCCTGTGCACCTGAAATAATGATTCCTACATTAATATAAGGTAAGTAAGTATTTCAGGTGCACAGGGACTTTTCGATCAGGGTTCATATAAATCCTTTTCATTGATAAAGCTTCGTTTACGTGTGTGTGTGTGTTTGTGTGTGTGTGTGTGTGTGTGTGTGTGTGTGTGTGTGTGAAGATCATTGAATCGTAAATCACGTCGTGTCTGTTCCCCTCTAGTCTCTGTGTTGGTTTCACAAGATAACATTTACTATAAGGGCTGGTAAGGGCTGAGAGGACTTAAACTGAGGGCTGGTAAGGGCTGAGAGGACTTAAACTGAGGGCTGGTAAGGGCTACGTGGGGGGAATTGACTTACTGTAAGGGCTGGTGACGGCGTACAAGACCTCGGACTGGGCGCCCTTGGCACTGGAGGCGAGGGAGTAAGTCTTAACGTAAACTGCGTAGCGTGTGTAAGGTTCCAGGTTGACGATGCTGCCTGTAATGGTGCCTCCTGTACTGTTGCCTGCATCCATCTCCATCGTCGACCACCTGAGAGAGAGAGAGAGAGAGAGAGAGAGAGAGAGAGAGAGAGAGAGAGAGAGAGAGAGAATCAGTAGACATCCAAGATTCTCAAAGCTTCAGACATAAAAATTGACCTAAATGCAAGATGGCGTCGTTAGTACCCCAAGACTTTAAAACAAAAACAAAAACAAAAATCTAAATGGACAAACTGGAGTCCTTCCCCTTTGTCACCCTCTAAGAGTCACTACACTCACACACCTGGTCACTACACTTACACACCTGGTCACTACACTTACACACCTGGTCACTACACTTACACACCTGGTCACTACACTTACCCCTGGTCACTACACTTACACACCTGGTCACTACACTCACACACCTGGTCACTACACTTACACACCTGGTCACTACACTTACACACCTGGTCACTACACTTACACACCTGGTCACTACACTTACCCCTGGTCACTACACGGTCCCTCACTCTCATATATGGAAATATTCTTGTCAGCTTTCTTGAAGTTGACGTAGTAGACGGTAACGAAGGGGAGGGGGCTGGCTGCTACTGTCACTCTCAGCGTCCCGTACAGGCTAGACTGACTCACACTGGCGTTGAGGGGAGTCACGTTACCTGGGAGTCACCGCCGCATCCACGTCACCAGCAGGAGGAAACCGTGTGAGAATTGGCGTTGGTAGTCGTGAATTTTGTTTTTGCGTATTATTTTGCGTATTAGTTATTATTATTATTATTATTATTATTATTATTATTATTATTATTATTATTATTATTATTATTATTATACCTGAATAGCACAATGTAAACACAGAAGAGTACAGAATAACAATGTGTTGATACCTTGCAAATGTTGAGCGTGTTGCAGGATATAGTTATAAAATTCAGTAAGAACTCAATTTTGTACCCTTAATGAAATTTTTTAACACACACACACACACATACTCACAGGGAACCTTATCGCCATTGGAGGTTGAAGAGACATCTGTTTCTGAGAGTCCCGTGATATTGGTGTTGTTGATGAAGTCTTCGATGTGGTGGAGACACAGTTTGGGGTTTGACTGTACGAACACCTTCCCTTTGTTGATGGTGAGGTTGGTACTCTGCCACAAGTTCCTTAAGTTAGGGTTGTCGAGGATCACCACCGAGTAACTGTGAGGAGGTGGTGAGATGGTGAGTGGTAGGTAGTGATGAGGGGTGGTGCGTGGTGGTGGTGATAGGGGGTAGTGAGTGATGGTGGTTGTTGTGGTTGTTAGTTGGTTAAAACTTACATATATTTATACTCGAGTTCTTGACGCAGCTCTTGGTTAACACACCTGTAAGAGTCTAGCAAATGTGGTGGGCGTAGCAGTGTAAGTTTGGGCGTAGCAGGTGTGAAAGTGGTAAGTGTGAGTGGCCATTGCAGTATGTGAAGGTGTAGCAGGTGTAGGCGTAGTAACAGGTGTAGACGTAGCAGATATAGGCTAGTAGCAGGTGTAGGCGTAGTAACAGGTGTAGACGTAGCAGGTATGTGTATGACAAATATAATAAACAGACACAAATAAATAAATGCACAATATAGGCAAACAACGAAGCAAAGATCAACATATAAAAGGTTTTTTCTTCACTACAGAATTCGAGGTAAAACTCAGTATTCTCCTCCTGTCACGGGAACCAGTTTACCGACAGTGATAAATTGGTCGCTGATAAACTACAGTACCTCGTTATCTTGGAAACAGAATCACCAGTCTATTTTTAGTGTGTGTGTGTGTGTGTGTGTGTGTGTGTGTGTGTGTGTGTGTGACAGTTCACTTCATAAAAAAATTAATTCTCTCTATATTTTCATATGATATTAGAAACGTCAAAATTGAGTTACTGAAAGCAATTTAAATCTGACTATAACCAGACCCGGAACCCGAGACTCCGAAACCCGAGACTCCGAGACCCGAGGCTACAGGAGACTTCCATTGCTGTTTGTTTAAGAATCTGTTGGTTTCAGTCATAACACATTCTTCCTACGTTAACCAAACACTGCCAGCTCAATGTAGTTTCTATCTTTTAATACTGACATCGTGAAGGGAGAATATCACGTTAAAATTCCCATGTCAAACTTTTAATCTAATATCCTGTGCTGTTATAACATTCATTCATAATATTGTTTTTGGTCTTTGTTTTTCACCATGTTGTAAAATAAATCTGGTTGTAACATGAATTTTTGTAAATATATGGACTCTAGGAAAAAAAATAACTTGGTGGTGAGGAAATATTTCTCTCTTTGTACTCAGCTGTTCTCTCTCTCTCTCTCTCTCTCTCTCTCTCTCTCTCTCTCTCTCTCTCTCTCTCTCTCTCAAACAAATGATAATTATAATCAAGCATCACTCCTTCAATTTCGCGCCAATTAATATAAAATTTAATAGATGCGTAATGGATGGTCCTTATCACTTTTTTTTTTCTTCAGTAACTTCAAACGCATTAGATGAATGACTAGTATGTGACAAGAGAGAGAGAGAGAGAGAGAGAGAGAGAGAGAGAGAGAGAGAGAGAGAGAGAGAGAGGTCAATTCAACCCGTGTATCATGTCGACTAAATAATCATACGTGCTATTCAATCTCTGAGCGATATATACATAACTCACTCTTGCTCACCCGACTCACCTGAACAGATATAAAGTGTCCTTGAAACTCTTTTATACCCTTTTTGATAACATTTTTTTTGGCATCATGTATTGACGAACTGTTGCGTTATTTTGTGTTGCTGTTTGAGAATGATGCGAAATACACACACTGGGTTTAGGTGACACTGGTGACTGTGTTTTGCTATAAATCATAAAAAAAGTGTTTCATGTTTTGTTTTTTTTTGTAAATAAATTTATGTATAAGATCTCGGTAATTGATTAGTTCATTCATGTGGCTGAGATGTGAATATCTTTTCATCATTATCACACTTCAGAGAGCACCTAACCTACCCTAACCTACCCTAACCTAACCTAACCTAACCTAACCTAACCTACCCTAACCTAACCTAACCTACCCTAACCTAACCTAACCTAACCTAACCTAACCTACCCTAACCTAACCTACCTTACCCTACTAACCTAACCTACCTAACTTACGACCATACCCCAGGCATATTATACTTTCCCTCTGTACACTCCTTTCCTTCTCTCTTTCCTCTGTACACTCTTTCGTCTCTCTTTCCCTCTCTGCCTCCTCCTCCTCTCCTTACCACCAGTTGTTTCAAGCACGACATGAGGATAAGCGTGTATACCCTAACAAGCCCTTCCTCCTTCCCTTCCCTTCCTCCCTTCCCTTCCCTCCCTCCCTTCCCTCCCTCCCCCCCTCCCTTCCTCCCCTCCCCCTTCCCTCCCCCCCTCCCCTCCCTCCCTCCTCCCCCCTTCCCCCCCCTCCCATGTTACCTGTACAGAATAACCAGCAAATCGAGATATACCTTTCCATGTTTTCTCTCAATCTCAAATCAAGTCCATAACTAAACACCGAAAGATACCAATTCCTTAACGTTTCGTCCCTTTCTTCTTCAAAACTTCTCGTAATTCCTAAAGTTTTCGTCACCTTTCTCGACTTCTTCAAAACTTCTCGTAATTCCTAAAGTTTTCGTCACCTTTCTCGACTTCTTCAAAACTTCTCGTAATTCCTAAAGTTTTCGTCACCTTTCTCGACTTCTTCAAAACTTCTCGTAATTCCTAAGGTTTTCGTCATCTTTCTTGACTTCTTGATCTCTCTGTCTCTCTATCTACGTTATTCTTCGTCTTCTATACCGTCTTTATCACACTCTCTTACTCAATCTTACTCTGGTAAAGATTAAATTACTCTGGTATGTATGTATGTATGTATGTATGTATGTATGTATGTATGTATGTATGTATGTCGCCTCATGTTTTAACTCTCTTGAGTACGATGATTTAACCCCTTGATTACGTAATTAACCTCTTGAGTACGATGGATTTAACCTTATGAGTACGTAAATAACCGTAAATAGCCTCGTGAGTACGTAATTAACCTTTTGAGTATGATGAAATAGTCCCTTAAGTGCGATGACTTAACCATTTGAGTACGTACTTAACATTCTTGAGTACGATTATTAGCTCTCTATGTCTCTCTCTCTCTCTCTCTCTCTCTATGTCTCTCAACACCTACTTGCTATGGAGAAGTGTGTCGCCGCGAATTCTGGTCAGGTTACCCAGGAAGTTCAAGGATGAGACGTTTGAACGGAAGATCTTAACGTAACCTGTGATCTCTTCTATACCACTGAGGTTCTTCTCCAGCTCCTCCTCGATGTCTTCTGTTGAGGGTGAGAGAGACAGAGAGAGAGTGAGTGAGTGTATGGGTCAATGAGTGTGGGAAAGAGTGAATGAGAGAGAGAGAGAGAGAGAGAGAGAGAGAGAGAGAGAGAGAGAGGACTGAACTCATAGCAGGAACAAAGTATTGCACAAATCAACACAATTCCACCATGTAGGAAGGAGAGAGGGAGGGAAGGAAAGGAAGGAGGTAGTTAGGTAGAAGGAAAGGAAGGAGGTAGTTAGGTAGAAGGAAAGGAAGGATAGAAAGGAAGGAGGTAAGGAGGGGTAGAAGGGAAGGAGGGAGGGAACCACGTACCTCCACCGTTAATATGGATGGTCAGGTTGCCTTGGATGATGGTACAGCCTCTCAGTAGCTGGGCGTGGCTGATGCTCTTCACTACGGTAGAGTCACACGTCTTAGGACACACGAACCCTGCACGAGACACAGGTCAAATAAGGTCACGAGACAGGTCAAATAAGGTCACGAGACACAGGTCAAATAAGGTCACGAGGCACAGGTCAAATAAGGTAATAAGGTCAACCAAAGACTACAAGAGGGAGGGTCACCTGCAGTAATACAATAAAACAACACACACACACACACACACACACACACACACACCACAAGAAGGTTCCTGTACTAATTACCACCACAGGTAAGAGGAAGGGTATCACTCACCTTTACATGGGACACACTTGGTTACGTTACGAGTCCCTTCACCTTCCGTGGTCTCAGTGTACCCAAGTGGACACAGCTCCACACACTCCCGCGTGTCCGCCTTCACAGCGTAGTGTTGCAGGCACATCTCACGATCTACACACCTGTGCTTCAACACCTGGCGGGGGTTGAGGGAGGGAGAGAGGTAAACAAAAGGTAATCAAGTGGTAAACAATAGGTAAACAAGAGGTGCGTTAATATAGACTACATGACAAAGGTTCAGTTATGTAGACGACCTAACAAGTGTTCCACTATTCTCTCTGACGCTCCACTATTCTCCCTGACGCTCCACTATTCTCTCTGACGCTCCACTATTCTCCTTGACGCTCTACTGTTCTCCCTGACATCAAGGTTCAATAGCAACCAGGTATCACGAGAGCCAGGTTCATCAGTATGCACGTGTACACACACAGGAGAGAGGGAGATAGGGAATGAGGGAGATAGGAAGAGAGGGAGAGAGAGATCATCAAATCCTCACCCAAAATGCTTATATAGAAAGGGAGGCGAGTTGGTTATCCTATATGAATGTGTGTGTGTGTGTGTGTGTGTGTGTGTGTGTCAAGGGCCAGCTGAGGTCGACGGTGCTACACTAATAATCTGAGAGTTATTCTCTCTCTCTCTCTCTCTCTCTCTCTCTCTCTCTCACAGACACACACACACACACACACGTATTGTTAATATTCTTTGTTTTGGGAATTTTTTTGGTGAACATCTGCTCATACTTGTGAAATATCTCCTCGTGATTTTCTGTGTGATCCAGTTATTGACCAGTTATTGACCTGTTATTGACCAGTTATTGATTAGTTATTGATCAGTTATTGACAAGTTAATAAACCGTTATTGCTTTGTTATTGACCAGTTATTGACCATTTATTGACCTGTTATTATTTAGCTTGATCGGTCGTGTTATTAACAGGAGGAACATGTCACACCGTTACCGTAAGTTTAACACAATATTACAAGGATTAAATATTTTGGATTAGCTTAGGTTAGGTTATGTTAGGTTAGGTTAATATTTGAATTAAACAAGCTGGGGTGGAGATTCTTCAGGTGATTCGATAATACTCTCCCTGACCTTACCTACGACTCGAAAAAACACGACAAAAACGACGTTAAATCTATACTGTTACTCTACCTTAGTGCTGTGATAATACCTGTCCACTGTTGAAATAATACAGAATAAACATGGATACTTGAGAATGAGGACCCTGTGTACTCTAGTGCTTCAGGAAACATAATGCATAACTACGCTCCATTACCTATAAACCAGGACATAGTTAACCATCTTTCAGCAACCACACACACACGGCTTCAGTGACCTCCAGCGTAAGTTTCAGTTTTTTAAGTCATGTTTAACGAGAATTTCTGATGATATGATGTAGAGTTTATAGTTGGGGGTTATAGAAGCACTTTTGGTGTTGTTTTAAGTGTGTTTTGTGGGAAGTTGGTCCAGTTTTAAGTGTTTTTTGTGGGAAGTAGGTCCAGTTTTAAGTGTGTTTTGTGGGAAGTTGGTCCAGTTTTAAGTGTGTTTTGTGGGAAGTTGGTCCAGTTTTAAGTGTGTTTTGTGGGAAGTTGGTCGAGTTTTAAGTGTGTTTTGTGGGAAGTTGGTCCATAGTGTGCGAGAGGAAGATAACAAGAACTTATGTAATTATTATGGTCTTACACGGCACCTCAGTCTGTGTCTGTGCATTACGACCGAACATCAACAAAACTTTATCTATTCTTTTGTTAAACTTAGTGGACGATGTTAAAGACTTATTGTTAAAGCACAGTCACGCCTCTGTCTCATCCATGAACTTCTGAGATTCGTCAACGTGTGAATTTGAGACATGATGTAACATTAGCTCAGGAGTATAACACAGTGTACTTCTCATCCGATCAGTGCAGTTAAGCAACTTTGGGTTATGGTTAGTGCTTGGATGGGTGACCGCTTGGCTTAAGAACACCAGATCTTGTTGGCATTAGGACTCTACTGGAAACATGCCTCTCGTGGTCACATTAAATGATTTATTATTATTATTATTAACACTGTGATGTCTAGGATTCACTGGTTCATGAATACCAGGGTTCATAGACGGGAAGGAGGACTGACGGGACTTTTTTCCTTAACACATTGAAAGGAAAATAACAGCCAACTTGAATCCTTCTTCCTCATCTCTCACATCAGCCATTTAACTTCAGCTTGTGGTTAATCCTGAAGGTTTTGAACTAATTAACCTCAATCACGTATCAGATTCTCATAAAATAATCGTAAGGGGATGAGCGAATGAAATAGGCTTAAGTTTCAAGGTAATTTCGACCCTTATCTTTGAGTTATTATTTAAGACAGGTAGTTAAATTCATCTCACCTGAGACTACCAATTACAGAATAGAAAACATAGTTGGGAATACAGGACGTTTAGTACGTAGAACAGAGACGTATATGTAGGAACTAGTATTTGTAGTTAGCTGTTGGTAGCCCTGAACAACAGACTATACAATCAAAGCTCAAAGGAAACCCCCATGTAAACAGTCTCTCTCTCTCTCTCTCTCTCTCTCTCTCTCTCTCTCCTGTTGAACGTTGGAGACTAAACGACCAATTCAGTGTAGGCAGGAGACTACTATTACACTGACGTCTCGGAATACAAACACGAGTATACTGAGCGTGAGACAGTGTGAGGGACGGCTTGTAATATCTTGACCTCTGATATTACAAACCTCCTCCTTGATCCCTATACTCGAGGATTATCTCACTCTGACTCACACTAGATATAAACAATAAGTGTGAGATATAACAAAACTTGACGAATTGAAATTACCATCGAGAGAAATTTGTTGTTTTGACGTCTGTTTTAGGTTGAGGTACACATGTGACCTTTGACCTGACTCTGGTAGCAAAGGAACCATAATTAACCTGATTGGAAGTTTTAGCGAGTGGTGACGGCTGCGCGAGTAACTGCCTTGAAGTTAGAACTTTTCTAATTCCAGCCTTAGATTTAAAACTTAGCGGGCATTGATCTTCAACTTCAACCCGAGAACTTTATGTTATTACTTAGAATTTTAGAACTTAACCCCTTCGCTACGGGGGCCCCACATTTAATATTTTGTTTAACTAACGCAAGGCGATTTTATTTAGCCGAGAAGAGACCCCGTACATAAGTGGTTTAATTTTGACTTAAACATTAACCTAAAACCAACTTTGAACTTAAGAACCACTGCATTTAAAACTTGGCAAATGAGTACCAACTTTGAACTGAGAACTAGGCAGATACTGACCTTGAACTTGCGTGAGGAGCAGGAATGTGTGCAGCGGTCGTGATCAAGCAGGTTCTTGCAGGCGTGGCAGGAGGTGGGGTCGCCTGGGGTGAGGCAGCCACCGAGACACTCACTATGACAACACTGGTCCCCTACACAGCCTCCGGGACAGTCCTTATCACACACTGTAATGAACAAATGGAATCTTTCTTAATGGAATTATTAGTGTAAAAGTGTTATCGTAATTTTATTTTGTTTGAAACCAGATTTTTTTTACAATACTCAGATTTTTTTTACAATACTCAGATTTTTTTTACAATACTCAGATTTTTTACAATACTCAGATTTTTTTTTTACAATATTCAATTATCTTAAATTTCTCGTCCTCTTCATCTAAACAAAAGCTTCTGCTATAAAGAAAACCACTCGGCAACTTCAATAACACACTTGGAGACATCAATAACACACTTGGAGACTTCAATAACACACTTGGAGACATCAATAACACTCTTGGAGACTTCAATAACACACTTGGAGACATCAATAACACTCTTAGGCAGGGTTTCGTATATTTCCCTTCACTGAGAGACATTCACCTTACCCACACGTGTCTTACAAGTTGACCAGCACCTCACCCTCCCCCCCCCTCAAAAAAAAAATATATCTTGACGATTATGTGTGAGACAATATAACACAATGGACGAAGGATTTAGACAACCCTACCGAGACCACAGGATATCGTAGTGTTTATTGTGAAATTCATCGATCACCTCCGCAGAGATAATCTTAGATCTGTCCTTTTAGAGATATCCTTCACTTCTATTAGCTTCCTACAAGCTTGATTGATGAGATGTTTGTGTATGTAAGCTGATTGTTGTTGGCTGAGTGAAAGCGATTGGTGATTGGCTGTTTGTTTGGTTTGGTAGAGAGAGAAGGGTGGATTCTGATTGGCTATTGTGTGGATTTCCTTGACGTGGTGTTTGTGTTAGTGGATGTATGTGGTATTAGTGGTGAGGTGAGATAGATAGATAGATAGATAGATAGATAGATAGATAGATAGATAGCCAGCCTTTATTAATCAGCATCTGTACTCGTGTGTGTGTGTGTGTGTGTGTGTGTGTGTGTGTGTGTGTGTGTGTGTGTGTGTGTGTGTGTGTGTGTATGCAAATCAACCAATGCTCCTTCCATCTCAATCACTCACTCGCCATCTTAAACAATGTGTGATTTAACTTTATCAATTTTCTTGTGTTTGCTTACAATCTGTTCTCATTGTACACCAGAAATTCCCCAACTTTGTTTCTTAAGAGAATATCGAAGCATTTCTGGTTTTTTCTTTCTTAAAATGATTAGGTTAGGTTAGGTTAGGCTAGGTTAGGTTAGGTTAGGTTAGGTTAGGTTAGGTTAGGTTAGGTTAGGTTAGGTTACGCTATGCTAAGTTAGGTTAGGACTGGGTTATATTTTGAGAACACTTTATACACAAGAGATAGTTTGACTTCATGCTAAACTGGTACTAAGCTGAAGGTTGAGGGTTAAGCTTAATAGTTAAGCTTAGGAAAGTTTCAGTGTTGGTTTGACTATTGTGTACATTTATTTACGAATTCATATAACTGTGTGTGTGACTGACTGACTGACTGACTGACTGACTGACTGACTGACTAACTAACTAATTGGCTGACTGACTGAGTGCCTCGCTAGCTGACTGACTGACTGACTGACTGACTAATTGGCTGACTGACTGACTGACTGACTGAGTGCCTCGCTATCTGACTGTCTGACACGGAGGAGCATCTCAACAAAACTTCATTGCCACTTTGACACAATTCCCGGGAGACTTACGGATGTTCTTTCTCTGCCCGTGTGTAATGAGTATCTCTCTTATCTCATTGTCTCTCATTGTTGTGTTCTTTCTGACTGTCGCTGTCTCTTTGTTCTCTATCTATTAGGCAGCTACCAAACAGGGAGGTACTACCGCCTGGGAAGACATTGGAAGCATAATGTGTTGTCTAATGGTAGACCTTGCTGCCATATGGCATCACGAAAATTGTGACCAAGTCCCAGGTTGCTGATATGACTTTCTGCCTCATTTACACACAATTGCAGGGTCTCAATTGTTTCTCTTAACATTGACAACACAACATACATATATTGTTCCTCACTTTTTTTTTTCATTTTGTATTTCTTTGTGGTTCTTTATTATTATTATTATTATTATTATTATTATTATTATTATTATTATTATTATTATTATTATTATTATTATTATTATTATTATTATTATTATATTATTATTGTTATTATTATTATTATTATTATTATTATTATTATTATTATTATTATTAAATTACTATATTATTATTATTATTATTATTATTATTATTATTATTATTATTATTATTATTATTATTATTATTATTATTATTATTATTATTATTATTATTATTATTATTATTATTATTATTATTACATTTTCGCCCCCCAGGCCCCGATGTGGGTCAGTGACCTGTGCCCGGGTGGGCTAATTCCGATAAAAAAAAAAAATTCATTCTCTCTCTGTCTCTCTCTCTGTCTCTCTCTGTCTGTGTTCCTCTCTCTCTGTCTGTGTTCCTCTGTCTTTGTCTGTCTATCTCTGCTTGTCTCTGTCTCTCTGTGCTTCTCTGTCCGTGTCTGTCTTTCTCTCTGTCTCTCGTACAATACAGAAATGGTGAAGTTCTCATCTATCTCCCGTGTAAACTTCTTGGCTCCAGTATCTCTCACCCCGTGTAGAGAGAAATAGGATATCTCTATCTCTCTGTTCCGCCTTTCTTCTCCTCCTCTCCTCTCTCACCCTTCCCTCCTTCCTCCTATTCCATCTTCTTCCTTCTCTCCCTCTTCGTATATCTTGTTGATGACTAGTTGGTGTGTGTACTGAACTAGTGAGCGAGTGAGTGAGCGAGTGAGTGACCGAGTGAGTGAATAAGAGTACCAGTTCAGATACCATGTTGTAATGACTGACTGACACTTTTACTTACAATCAACATTCATCAATTACTCCTTCCTCTGTACAGTGTTTATATTACACCACGACCACTAAGCCCCCTCATGATTATATTACACTGAAACTACCGACCACCACAAAAAAAGGTCTATTTTTCCCCCACGTGATTCAATATTTAATTCTGTGCCTATATAAATAATTAACTATATCAACACATAAATAAAATCAACAATAAATTAATTACCAAGGTGAAGGTACAGGTATATTTATTTTCCTAGTTTTCAATATTCCACAAATATCAAAATACTGTAATCTCATACCTTGCGCATTTCATTTCTCATCTGTTTACTGCAACCACCACCACCACCACCACCACCACCACCACCACCTCCACCACCACCACCACCACCACCACCACCACCACCACCACCACCACTGTAGCTTCGTATTGCTCATATATTATCCACCTTTACATTGTATTTTTTCTCAATTTGTAGGAAATCCTTCAATATTATTATCTGTCTTACTCAATGGCTTTTGACGTGGCGAGATGGCGTTTCTCTCTCTCTCTCTCTCTCTCTCTCTCTCTCTCTCTCTCTCTGTTTGTCTGTCTGTCTTGCAAATTAATTTTTTATAGCCACTAATTGTTACGTAATTAATTTAATCTAACCCTAAGCTGACAGTTGTGATTGGGGAGGAGTGGGATGAGAGTAGGGAGGAGATAATGGTGAGAATTATATAGGATGAGTAGGGAGGTGTGGTGAGGAGTGGGATGAGTAGGGAGGTGTGGTGAGGAGGGAGGAGTGGGATGAGGTGGGGAGGAGTGGGATGAGAGTGGGAGGAGTAGGATGAAAGGAGTGGGGAGGTGGGATGAGAGTGGGAGGAGTGGGATGAGAGTGGGGAGGGTGGGATGAGGTGGGGAGTGGGATGAGGTAGGGAGGGTGGGATGAGGTAGGGAGGTGTGGTGAGGAGGAGTGGTGTATGAGGTGGGGAGGAGGTATGGTGAGGAGGGAGGAGTGGTATGAGGTGGGGAGTGGTGTATGAGGTGGGAGGTGGGATGAGTAGGGAGGTGGTATGAGGTGGGAGGAGTATGGTGTGAGGAGGGAGGGTGTGGTGAGAGGGGAGGAGTGGGATGAGAGGGAGATGGAGTGGGATGAGAGTGGGGAGGAGTATGGTGAGAGGGGAGGAGTGGTATGAGAGTGGGGGAGGAGTATAATGACCTCATCATCATTACTCCTCTCGTGTTATATGCAAATTATAGTCATTATATAGATGATTATTTCACCTGAGGCACAGAATTATTCCTTCAGCAGTGACTCTATCTCACACCCCAGCAGTGACACCCCTAGCAGTGATTCCTCCTAGCAGTGACTCCTCCTAGCAGTACCACCTCCCAATAGTACTACCCCCAGCAGTGATTCCTAATACCAGTACTACCCCTAACAGTGACACCTCCTAGCAGTGCCACCCCCCCTCCCCCTCCCCAGCAGTGACAACCCCAGACAAGGTACTCACGGGCCTGGCAGTGGTGAGGACCCCAGCATCGAGGGGCGCCGCAGGGTAGAGAGTGAGGACAACTTAGCTCCTCTGGACAAGACGGACAGTCAGACTCTGCCCGATTGCGCTGTAGAGGGGGAGAAATGACCGGGTGTGAGAGAGAGAGAGAGAGAGAGAGAGAGAGAGAGAGAGAGAGATTAAAACAGAGAGAAAAATATAATATGTATAACCTAACCTAAGCTAACCTAAGCTAACCTAACCTAACCTACCAGAAATAATGCCGTGTAAAATAAGAGACTGTGTTTTCTTGGCTCCAAAAGGCGTGTGTCTTGTGATGTAAATACTTATTGGACGAGAAAGAGAAGCATAATGTAAATATGTTAGGTATTATACTCTCTCTTGTCTTAATTAAGTGTTATGATGTTTGTGTGTGTGTGTCTCTCCTTCATTCCTTCCTTCCTTCCTTCCTTCCTGCTCTTGTTACCTCCTTATATTTCTCATCTCCTATCGTCCTATCCCACCTCTCCTACCTCTCTCCTTCCTACCTTCTTCTACCTTCCTCCTCTCATTTTATCCTTCCTTCCTCCCTCCCTCTCTCCCTCTCTCCCTCTCTCCCTTTCCTCCCTTCCTTCCTCCCCCTCCTTCCTCCCTCCCCTGATACTCACACTGATGTAGTTCTCAGCCAGACGAGTGACGGTGATACGGCCCCAGTCTATCGTATGTACACAGCCAAGGATTCTCTCTATACGAACGGAACCTGTGGGAGGAGGCCAGGATGAATGAGAGGCCAGGGAGGTGTGAGAGGCCAGGAGGGTGTGGAGGCCAGGAGGAGGTGGGAGGCCAGGGAGGGAGGTGTGGGCCAGGGGGAGGCCAGGGGAGGGTGTGGGAGGCAGGAGGGGTGGGAGGCCAGAGGGTGTGGGAGGCCAGGGAGGGAGGGTGGGAGGCCAGGGAGTGGGAGGTCAGGAGTGTGTGGGAGGCCGGGGAGAGTGGGGGCCAGGTGGAGAGACCAGGGAGAGTGCAGGTATGGCAGCAACAGGCAGGTGTGGCAGTACAGTGAGTGCAGGTGTGGCAGAACAGTGAGAGGCAGTAACAGTGAGTCATGCAGGTGTGGCAGTAACAGTGGCAGTAACAGTGCAGTGTGCAGTAACAGTGGAGTCATGCAGGTGTGGCAGTAACAGTGAGTCATGCAGGTGTGGCTGTAACAGTGAGTCATGCAGGTGCAGTAACAGTGAGTATACAGGTGTGGCTGTAACAGTGAGTCATGCAGGTGTGGCAGTAACAGTGGTGTGGTTGTAACAGTGAGTCATGCAGGTGTGGCAGTAACAGTGAGTCATGCAGGTGTGGCAGCAACAGTGAGTCACAGGTGTGGCTGTAACAGTGAGCCTGCGCAGGTGTGGTTGTAACAGTGAGTCATACAGGTGTGGCAGTAACAGTGAGTCAGTGCAGGTGGCAGTAACAGTGAGTCATGCAGGTGGCAGTAACAGTGAGTCATGCAGTAACAGTGAGTCATGCAGGTGTGGCAGTAACAGTGAGTCATACAGGTGTGGCAGTAACAGTGAGTCATACAGGTGTGGCAGTAACAGTGAGTCAGGTGTGGCAGTAACAGTGAGTCATGCAGGTGTGGCAGTAACAGTGAGTCATGCAGGTGTGGCAGTAACAGTGAGTCATGCAGGTGTGGCAGTAACAGTGAGTCATACAGGTGTGGTTGTAACAGTGAGTCATACAGGTGTGGTTGTAACAGTGAGTCATGCAGGTGTGGCAGCAACAGGAGAACTAGGCAGTAAAGGACCTCTAAGGATGACGGTGAGGGAGGCCAGGCCCACCTCCTTCAGGTTGGGCACGTCGTAGATGACGAGGGCGTAGTTGTGGAACAGCACATCGCCTCTGTGGGAGAAACACGCCGTCACACACCGTCACATACTATCCTATACCGTCACACACCATCCTATACCGTCACACGCCGTCACAGACCATCCTATACCGTCACACACCGTCACACACCATCCTATGCCGTCACACACCGTCACACACCATCCTATACCGTTACACACCGTCACACACCGCTAGACACCATCTTATACCGTCACACACCATCACACTGCCACATACCGTCACACATCATCACACACACTGTCATACACCGTCACACGCGCCATCATACACCGTCACATACTGTCACACACTGTCACACACCTTAAACATTGTACAGGTAGACAAGTGGCTATTTATTCCCTCATTCACGACCATCCGCCTTAACCAGACAGGAAGAATATTTCGTATTTATTGAAGTGAATTTCCAAAGGATGAAACGATAGTATATTTTCACTATACGGTTTTTTTTTTCAGGTCAAATTGAAGTGTTTATCTTTAAGGTGAAGTAATTGTAAGATAGATATGGTTGGGCTACACAGAGTTAAGAGCCTGTCACAAACACAACTCGGCTCAGGGTGTAATTGTCTAGTAAATTTCGGATAGCGGTGCAGTGGTGTTTTGCCTTAATGAGAATGTTACCTGCCGGGCCCCCCCCCCACCTGTACGCGATGGCCTACACGATATTACTATTAACAAAATTACTCGAATATTTCTTCAAGTAAAACGAGACACAACACAGTATTGTCCACTACGAGACACAACACAGTATTGTCCACTACGAGACACAACACAATATTGTCCACTACATGAGATCAATAACTTTCAAGAATGTGGCATAATGAAGCGAATTTTGACCCAATTAATTGACCTTATGAATGATTAGATGCTGTAGAAAACTTGTCATCGTTCAGTAAACAAATTGAACCAATACTCATCAACTCGTATCAGTCAAAATATTAAATGATTAACATAACACAGCGCTTGTAACGTTAACACAGCGGTTGTAACGTTAACACAGCGGTTGTAACGTTAACACAACGCTTGTAACGTTAACACAGCGCTTGTAACGTTAACACAGCGCTTGTAACGTTAACACAGCGGTTGTAACGTTAACACAGCGCTTGTAACGTTAACACAGCGCTTGTAACGTTAACACAGCGGTTGTAACATTAACACAGCGGTTGTAACGTTAACACAGCGGTTGTAGCATTAACACAGCGGTTATAGTGACGAGACTCTGGCTAATACGTATTACACTAAAACAACTTTGTTCATACATTTGCATATAGTCTGAAGTTTGTTTACCCTGAGTGCACATCGTATGCAAATTTTTTGGGGGACAGTTAATTTAGTTTAGGATAGGTATGTTAGGTTAAGTTAGGTTTGGTTAGTTTAGGTTAGGTTTGGTTAGGTTAAGTTAGGTTTGGTTAGGTTAGGTTAGGTTTGGTTAGGTTAAATTAGTTTAGGTTAGGTTTGGTTAGGTTAAGTTAGGTTTGGTTAGGTTAGGTTAGGTTAGGTTAGGTTAGGTTAGGTTAGGTTTGGTTAGGTTAGGTTAGGGGTTGTAATGCATTATCACTATGCATACATTTACAGTAAATCAGAAAAATTAATATAATTTTTTAAGTGTAATGATTAATCCCGTAATATACAAGAGGAAATATTTACGATAAGATAATGACCAATTACCTGCAACTACACCTGGGTCAATGAGGTGTAATTGCCTACTTAGATAAATTGCAACAGTTGGATGAGAAACGTTATAGTGTGTTGAAAGAAATGATTTTATTTATTATTTATTATTTAAGAGTAATAAGTTAGCAGTGGTTGTGGTGTTACTTTATCACTCTCCTTCTCTTCCTCCCCCTCTTCCTCCCCCTCTTCCTCCTCCTCCTCCTCCTCCTCTTCCTCCCTCCTACCCCCTCAATAATTCAATATCAACAATTAGTTTTTGTCATCAGTTTTTTTTCCCTAAGATGCTTGAAATTTTAGTGTGTGTGATTGCGTACATGTGTGAGTGTGATTGCGTACATGTGTGAGTGTGATTGCGTACATGTGTGAGTGTGATTGAGTATGTGTGTGAGTGTGATTGCGTACATGTGTGAGTGTGATTGCGTACATGTGTGAGTGTGATTGCGTACATGTGTGTGTGATTGCGTACATGTGTGAGTGTAATTGAGTACATGTGTGAGTGTGATTGCGTACATGTGTGTGTGATTGCGTACATGTGTGAGTATGTGTGTGTGTGTAAGTGCCCTTTAAGACAACTATCAGTCCTCAGACGTAAACACAGCATTAAACTAAACTTTCCTTCCCGAATAAGTGCAGTTGAAGCCATTAAATACCTGTAATAATGGCCCCAGGTGTAATTAATGATGCAGTTATATCGTTTACTTCCTTCCTCTGTAACTCTCTCTCTCTCTCTCTCTCTCTCTCTCCCTTCCTTAATCTGTCTCTTTCTCTCTCCTTCCCTTTCTTCCTTTTCCTTCCTTTCTTCTTTCATTCCTCTCTCTTTCCCTTCCTCCCTTCCCCTCTCTTTCCCTTCCTTCCTCTATCTCTCTCTCTCTCGCAGTCTCCCTTCCTTATTCTGTCTCTTTCTCTCTCCTTTCCTTCCTTATTCTGTCTCTTTCTCTCCTTTCCTTCCTTCCTTCCTTCCTCTCTCTCTCTCTCTCTCTCTCTGTCTGTCTGTCTGTCTGTCTGTCTGTCTGTCTGTCGAGGATTTTAAATATCACACACGCTGGGAATTTAGACCAAAGACCGTCCCAGCCTTTTAAATTATCAGCTGTCGATAAACACAGTTAGAAATATTACCCGTGAGTCAGAGAAACTAGAATATTCTGTCGATTTCACTCAATATTTATCTAATGGTCACGTCAGAAAATTTATCATCTGAAACTATAAAGGAGAGTTATTTGAGATGACTGCCAGGTGAGGGGATGATACACTCACCTGATGACTGCCAGGTGAGGGAAGAGTCGACCGAGAGAGGTGAGGTTGAAGACCCGGTAGACGAGGAGATGATGGGTGATCTCTTTCAGTCCCGGGAACGAGTAGCGGTTGAGGCGATGGATGGAAGCGTTGTCTCTCTGCCAGGTACACACATAAGGGTTAACAAGGTGTACTACATGAAGGGATTAAACGCACACACAGACATACACATACACAGAGGACGATGTATTAAACCATTATCCTCAAATGGTTAAACCAATACCACCCACCATCAGAAATTAAACCCACCTGTCTTGAAAGAAGGTAAACTGAATAGTGTTAATGATCTTATGTATCTCGTGATTTGGTTAGGTTAGGTTAGGTTAGGTTAGGTTAGGTTAGGTTAGGTTAGGCTAGGTTAGGTTAGGTTAGGTTAGGTTAGGTTTGGTTAGGTTAGGTTTGGTTAGGTTAGGTTAGGTTAGGTTACTGTCACCAATCGTCATAGCCCCATAAGGTATTGTCAATTTTAAAGGTACTATTGTAGGTTCATAGTCATTATTTAATCCTATCCCACCTAATAAACATTTTTACTTTAGTTCAAAAACATCCTTGAGATCCTGCCATTATTTAACCCGGTATTAGTGGCGATTTTCTCCTTAACCTTTACGATAATTTGTATAGGAGTAAAGTTAATGGAAGGTTAATATTACTTTCTTTTTTTCCAGGTTGGTGAAGGTTAACAGCTCCTCACAGCACCGTAACACACCACAACACACTTCAGGTATGTCTAAGTTAGTATTGTATATCAGTTATTATTGTTTTGTAGTTGTTCTTGAGTTTCTGCGTCGCCGTTACCTAAGTCGCCGTTACCTAAGTCGCCGTTACCTAAGTCGCCGTTACCTAAGTCGCCGTTACCTAAGTTGCCGTTACCTAAGTCGCCGTTACCTAAGTCGCCGTTACAATGATACGTAAACCACGAGGGTACACGGAGCCAACAGTATTCAGTAATATATAAGAATTCCATCGTAAAATGTCTCGGTATGCAAAACTCATAGAGTGCATGTTACTCCATCAGTTGGCCAATGTATGAACTACCAGTTAAATCAACCAATAGAAATACAGCGTAGGAGCATTCAACCAATAAGGGAACAGTAAGAGGGTGTGTTGAGTGTGTGAACCTTTGCAACAACCATAACAATTCAACTACGTGTTTGTAAACCCCGACCACTATGACGTCATCTTCTATAACCAATTAAAAGTCATCTCTTATGTCTTATCGAGCAAAACTGTTTCTTATTGGCTTAAGAACTGTAGAGTTTAGGAGTTTATAAATAGCTGGGTTGACAATATTGTATATCCCAGGAGAGAGAGAGAGAGAGAGAGAGAGAGAGAGAGAGATACCTTACATACCTGGGCTGTAGCTGCTGGCGGGGTATTTACTACTAACCCGTCCTCTTTATTACAGGTGAGAGACAGGTAACATTCGTAAATAACACTGTTGGTGATAGGTGATGCTAGGCGTATAATTCCCTAAAATGCTGCGTCTGTCTGTCTGTCTGTCTGTCTGTCTTTCTGTCTCACGCTGTCTCTCTCCTCTATCTCGTTCTCTCTCTCACTTATCTGATGACATCCTTATTTCCTCTACTTCATTTCTCCATTTTTCCGCTTCTCTCTCTCTTTAACGTTTCTCGTTTTTTCTCTCACAAGGTCTCTCTCTCTCCCTCTCTGTTTCCGTCTTTCTCCCTGCCTGTCTCTTCCCTTTTCACTCTCTCTCTCTCTAGAAGATGAAACTCCATACCTTCCTAGCGAGGCGTGAACATCGCCTCGCTGAGGACATAAGACACCATAACACTGTGTTTTACTGGACAGCTCCTGAGGCTTTAGTACAATCTTCCCCCTGCCCACCCCCACCAACTCTTCAAATACTACTACTACTACTACCATCACTGAAACGACTACCACAATCACCACTACTACCTACCACTACTGCTATGAATACTACCATAACCACAACTATATCTGCCCTTTTAAGTCAGTCAGGGTGTTAACAAGACCCACATTAATCTCTTGGTCTAGCAATTACCTGAGTTCTAGAGCAATATTCATAGTAGTTTGTTGTCGAAATAATACAAAACAATATAAAAACACGACAGATATTTTTTTTTGTTTTATAGGAAATCCACTTTTTTTTCACTTTTGATATTTTCGTTTCCCGTCACGGACAAAAATGGTTGTGTCGACACTAAAGAAAACGAAGAGGATGGTTTTAGGGGGGACTCCTGTCTCGCGGGTCAACTCTACTAGAAATGTCCACAATGACTCTCTCCTATCTTGTCCTCACACGCTTAAGCCTTTAGTTCTTTCTTTACAGTGTGGAACGGAGGTTAACTTATTTTTCTTGTAAGTATAAGTGTTAAGTAGTATTAGTTTATATTATTTACAGGAATTTTGTGAATTAAGATGATTTGGGGGGGGATGTTACAGGTATTCTATCGTTTGATTCCTTCGTGTTGAGGCTAACGAGCTGATCAGTGGTGAAGAGGATAAAAGTAAAAAGTAAAAAAGTTAAAGACTCTCATAGTTACACCTGTTATACAATATGTCTTGTTTTGTTATAAGAGAGTTTGTGAAAATATCTACTGTGAACCTAGAAAATTCAAATGTCACTGAAATTTATCATACATCATATAATATCAAGTTTGATACATCATACAATATCAAAACTACCATTTTCTCTAATATGTCATGGAAGCCACACATCCACACCATTGCTAAAGCTGCCTCCCGAAAGTTGGGGATGTTGTACAGATGCCGTAGCTACTTCACTCCTGAGCAGTTTCATCAAGTTTATAAGGGATTCATTCGTCCTAACTTGGAGCACTGCTCTCATATCTGGGGTGGCTCTTCTTCTGTCCAACTGTTAGAGAGGGTGGGATCAAATGCATTTCGTTTCTCTGTGGATGTCGGTCACACTAGAATAACCTGTTATAGTACATCCTTCTTTCCTTACACAGCCAAACTGTGGAATGCTCTGCTTTCTTCTGTGTTTCCATACTCATACAATGTCTCACTTCAAAAAGCTGGTTTTCCGGCATCTTCGTGGTGTAGATTAATATAATCTTTTTCTTTTCTATTTTAATTTCTTTTTACTCTTATTTTTTCGCCCCTCAGGCCCCGTTGTGGGTCGATGACCTGTGTCAGGGTGGGCTTGTCCCCATAAATACAATAACAAGAGAAAATGCTCAACAAAACAAAATTCTCCTCAAACACAATACAAAGTTCCTCCATTAATGAAAACTTCGCAGACTCAAACTTCCTTTACACTAAGTTAAACCAAAATACTAACACCAATTAATAAATACACTTCTCAAGCCTCGTTATCCACATCTCTTGTAATAATCCTCTTATTTACGCCCTTCACTTTAGTCTATTTAACAGTAATTGGGGAGCTGGACTTGTTTTCTCCACTCCCTGTTATCCTGTTTACGCCCTCACGACAATACACCAAACTACGTCGTGATGCTGTGACCTTTTGATCCATTTGACATCTTCAGAGACCTTCCTAATTACCATTGTTACTGACAAGTTCTGGGATGACAACAAGACGCGGGAAGTTTGGCCTGATCTTCGTAATGTGGTTCTGTACTACAATCCACATGTTTTTTTTAGCTATTTGGTTTAGAGATCTAGTTGGTGTGTGTGTATGTTGTGTGTGTGTGTGTGTGTGTGTGTGTTGTGTGTGTGTGTGTGTGTGTTTGTGTGTGTGTGTGTTTGTGTGTGTGTGTGTGTGTGTGTGTGTGTGTGTGTGTGTGTGTGTGTGTGTGTGTGTGTGTGTGTGTGTGTGTGTGTGTGTGTGTGTGTGTGTGTGTGTGTGTGTGTAATATAATATGTACGAGTATATATATACATAGGTTCAAAAGAAATCCCCAGGTACATTAATTAGTCAGCAGGTAAACTATTGTTCTCCTCTGGCCATTATAGGTACAGGTGAGTCAAGCAACAATAATGATCCCCTCCTAATCTCACTTCCACCCAGGTCAAGAGCTACTTACATCCTGCTGGGGTTAGGTTAGGTTAGGTTAGGTTAGGTTTGGTTTAGGTTAGGTTAGGTTAGGTTAGGTTAAGGTTACGTTAAGTTAGATTTGGTTAGGATCTTATTACCTAACTTGAAATTACCCCCACATTCCAGGATATTAATTAATCACCTGTCGAAGGTTACTGTCAGGTGTACTGGGTTATTTACTCCTTGATTATTTTTCGTTACCGACACCAAGTTGCAATGATTGGAATGTCTGTTTCGTGTCGTTCACTTAATACACGTAATCAAGAAAGAAGCATTTTGTTACTTGAAAGGAGCATTGTGACTTGACAGAACAGAAAAAGGAGGTCAGGACACCGTAGGAGGCGGAGGGTGGTCTTACCTGCTCCTGAAGGACAAAGTGGAGGTGGCCGTCGATGATGCGGCAGCGGCACAGTTTATCCAGGGCGCTGATGTTGTTCCGCAGGTCCAGGCTGCCGCAGACTGTGTGGGGAGGAACACCTGGGTAGTGACTCGTTCTTAATTAGTTACCACATCAATAGGTGAAGGAAACAGAGGTTGACACACCCTAACCTAACCAAACTTAGTCGAGGTGCTAAAAGTTCCCTGATAGGCTGAGAGTAAAGAGCTTATAATGACTTTGAAACATTATAAACGACTTTTTCTCAGGCTCAGAGTCGGACCACGGTGAGGCTAGGGGCGTGGACGAGGAAGATAAGAAGGCTGGAGGACAAATCACCTGAGGTCTTATGTTGACACTATCAGGACAACAAACACGGAGGAATATTATTTTTGAAGAGGTATTATTTTTTTGTTTTTTATTTTTTTCTTGGTATTTTGATTTATTTATTTTTCTAATGACGTTGTATTTTGAACTTAGGATTATTTTCTTTCGTAGGATTTTAATATATTTTTTTATTGTTGATATGAAGAATAATTTGTTTATTTTTATTTTTTTATTTTTTTATTTTTCATTGTGTTATGTGGCTATAGCGAGGATCTGTTCAGGGTAGTGCAGGTGTGTTTGTGTGTTGATATAAACATTGTTAACTCCTGTTTTTAAATTAACTTTTGAATAATCCTCTTAGTTAATGTTTTTTCAAGTAATAACTCGAAGGTGACACTTCATATCAACGGTTAATGACTTTATATTAACTTCGGGAGTGATCATGGTGCCGCGTACTGTATCATTAACTAACAGTCAGAATTAAATAAAAAAATGGGTCACTTGAAGAATCGCCACCCCAGCTTATTTCACCTAACCTAACCTAACCTAACCTAACCTAACCTCATCTCTCCAAATAATGTTAGAGTGGTTAATCCCTCGGTGAGACCTCACTTGGATTATGCAGTTCATTTTTGGTCACCGTAGAACAAGTTACCAAACATCATCATTAACTCTAACACGCTTGGTAGCTTCAAACATACAGTTGGTTGGACGGATATATGAGCGATAGGGGTTGGGTGTAAACGGGACTGGCCAGTATAGGTCAATAGGCCAGCTACAGTTTCCTCCATTCTTATGTTCTTAATCAAGACTTCGTGATGGTCAGCACGGTACAAGAGGTCTTCCCTGACTGACTACTGCACTGTGCTGCTTCAGGAGGAAAGAGGGGGGGGATAGGTTAGGTTAGGTTAGGTTAGGTTAGGTAACCATCAGGGTGTTTCATCTGTAGGATAAATAGAAGGGGTTAATCTTCAGATGATCCGAGTATTAATTAACTTTTGTTGACTCCTACATGAAATCTACAGTGTGTACTACATTAAACGTGAAGAATATTGTTCACTCGTGGTGTTGAGGCAGAGCCAGCACACCCGGGTCAGCATCTCACCTCCACCTACAGCCAACACCTCCAATCTTTCCCTTTGTGTATACTATGTTGGAGACTCTACAACATACACCTCATGAACTGGTATGTTGGTATGGCAAAGGTCAAGTCATCTGAGAATTCACAAGTGGTTAAGAGAGAGGTATTACGACGGGTAATAAAACTAAAGGTGGAAAGAGTCTCTCAGTATCTTGCAACACCTGTCAAGACCGTGCGGCAGAGTTAGTCATGGTCAGAGGCGTCTCACCACCTCATGAGGGAAACCCGGCCAGTTGAGACGACCAGGTGAACTTGAGTCACCTTTCTGCAGGATAATAATAATCACTTCCTAATTGTTACCTTAATTATGTATTTCAAATCTTTTTTATGGGTATTTTTTTATTTATCTTCTCTTCCATATTTATTGATTGTGTTTTAAATCTCATGTCTCTTCGTCTTTGTTTATTTACTGAGTGGTTTCCTACATCGTTCTGTGTGTTATTGATATTTTGATGCTGTTAATTTACTATTTGTCAGTTTCGTTATCTGGCAAGTGTATCTCAGACACTCTTAAGTCATGTTTCTCAGCTTTTCATCCTTCTCTTCCTCACCCTTCACCACCCTCACCCTTCACCACCCTCACCCTTCACCACCCTCACCCTTCACCACCCTCAACCTTCAGAACCCTCACCCTTCACCACCCTCACCCTTCCCTCACCCTTCACCATCCACCCTTCACCACCCTCACCACCCTCACCTTCACCACCCTCACCCTTCACCACCCTCACCCTTCACAACCCTCACGCTTTCTCTTTCATCTAAGCCTCACCTTGACCTTCAGCTCCCCCGTAACCCCCTCACACCTCTCCCTCACGTTAGTCTGTTCGTCTCACTCGTCTCTGGCAGTCTCTGTATTGCCTCTCTCCTCCTTCTTAAGTTTTCATGTGTAAAGTTGACCTAACCTAACCTAACCTAACCAAATAACAATCCTTCTTACTCATCAATCCAATCACTCTTAATCAATCCAATCAATCATCAGCCTTGAAGACTTCAGAGGAGTGTCAATCATGATCTGTTAACTGAGTCAAAGTTTCGAAGCTTTGTAAAGTTCGAAGCAGAATGAATTCATGATAAATTTATTTTCTCTCTCTCTCTCTCTCTCTCTCTCTCTCACTGGGATAGGTTAGGTTAGGTTAAAGATTAAGCATAGATTAGGTTAGGTTAGGTTAGGGTTGTTTAATCATCAGGAGAAATAAACTGGGGTGGTTATTATCCAGGTGTTCATACACATTAACACCTGTAAGTTCTTAAGCAGGTGTTATGGATAAATTACCTACAATAATCATTAACAATTCAGTGTCAATAGAGACTGATATACTACTGACTGTGTTACAATATTCTCTGTTGTAAAATTTCCTCACCTTTCTAGAGATACATTTTTGTTATACTTTCTTCAATAGGATTACTGATTTTAATTGTGCGAGGGAGGGAAGGAAGGAGGGAGGGAAGGATGGGAGGGAGGGAGGGAGGGAGGGAAGGAGGGAAGGATGGGAGGGAGGGAAGGAAGGATGGGAGGGAGGGAAGGAAGGATGGGAGGGAGGGAGGGTAATGTGGGTAAGATGGAGGGAAGGAGGGAAGGGAGCAGTGTGGGATGGGTGGAAGGGGGGAGGGAGGGACCTAACCTAACCTATCCCATCCCGTTTTATCTTTCGTGGTACTTTTTCATCTCTTCAGCTTCCTGTTTAACCTCACGCGATATTCTGTTCTTTTATCAGGGAGGAAGTTGGTTATCGTCTTCCGCCATCTTTGTCTTCCTGGATAAAATCGAGTCGAAGATAAATTTATAGATGATAGGCCTATAAACTCACTCCTATGGCGTTTTCCTTCCGTATTCGACCCGAGTCTAGTCATCTATACACCGTCAAAAAACAAAAGAGCATCATCAACAAATATAGTCATCCTCCTCATCGTGTGTCTTGAATTCCTTTTATCCTGATCCTGCCACGCTTGTTTTTGTTTTTCCTCTTCTTCATCTCTTCATTTATACACTAAGAAAACAAACGTTCATCATTACTCCTCACATACACACAGCCTCTTGTCTCACTTTCTTGGATTCCTTAATCTTCAGACCAACAATGGAATTCCCTCCCCCACGCTTTTTTAGAGCTCATATTCAAGTCATCTATACATCATCAAAACAAACGAGCATCATTAACGCAAACAGAAAGTCTCCTCCTCACTCCGTCTTATTTTAGTCATCTATACATCATCAAAACAAACGAGCATCATTAACGCAAACAGAAAGCCTCCGAACTCGCTCTCTTGGAAGCCCTATCACAACTCAATGAAAAATAAAACCTTTATTCTTGAGCGCTTGTTTTTACCCTCCCTTGTCTTCCTTGTAAAACCTGAAAGTCTTAAAATTTAGAGCAGACAAATATTTCAGATGACGTTCACAAAAATACCTTCTTTCCTGCAGAGTTTTGGTGGCGTCCTGGCGGGAATATTAAGTACTATGTTCGGCATTAGTTTGTGTGTTGGTGCTATCGAGTGTGTGTGTGTGTGTGTGTGTGTGTGTGTGTGTGTGTGTGTGTGTGCTTTTATCTCGGATGAAGAAGAGGAGGAAGAAAAAGAATATTAATAGTGCGGTAAAAATAGGAAGAAAATGCGGACAAAGAAATAGGAGAAGAAACAACTATATAGTGCTTTTACTTTTCCCTCCGTTCTCCCTCTCTTCTTTTGTTCCCCCTTTGTTCCCTGTGTTCTCCCTGTGTTCTTCCTTTGTTCCCCTGTTCTTTCTTCCAGCTATTGAAGACTGAAATACAGAACGTTGGATGAAAGGCTAGGTTAGGTTAGGTTAGGTTAGGTTAGGTTAGGTTAGCGTATCACAACAAGAGCAGCAATTAAGTTGGTGACCTCATAATTTAACCAGACAGGTGAGGTTATAGGTGAAATCAGGTCGAGAAATTACCAGTTAGAGCCTTGTATTTCGTCTATAATATGAATGATAGTGAACAAATCAGTGAAATCAGGTCGAGAAATTACCAGTTAGAGCCTTGTATTTCGTCTATAATATGAATGATAGTTAACAAATCAGTGAAATCAGGTCGAAAAATTACCAGTTAGAGCCTTGTATTTCGTCTATAATATGAATGATAGTTAACAAATCAGACACCAGAGGGTAAAGTATCTCTGAATCTATAAGTAACATAATGTAATCTGATCTGAACCCGCAAACAGGATATCCACACGCTGCCACGGTAACACCACCTACCTGTCCGTGATAAGAAAAGACGATGTGTTGGAGCTCAGGTGTTGACGAGACAAAACGTAAACAAAGAACGTAAGAAAAAAAAATGGAAAATTAATTTGTCTCTCATTAACGAAAACATGGAGGAGAACAATAGCAATGGCGAACACAGTTAACAGGAGACTCATTACCCGAAAACAGCCACCAGGAGGGGACTCACTACCCGAACACAGCCACCAGGGGACTCACTACCCGAACACAGCCACCGGGGGACTCACTACCCGAACACAGCCACCAGGGGACTCACTACCCGAACACAGCCACCAGGGGACTCACTGCAGACACAGCCCACCAGGGGACTCACTGCAGACACAGCCACCGGGGACTCACTACCCGGAACACAGCCACCAGGGGCTCACTGCCCG